GGTGCGGACATTCTATGTCTTCATCCTTATTTTTACTTTCATCGAGAGAAGAGAGGATACATCGGCCAATTGGCTTCTCGAAGGCTTTCACGAACTGGCGTCATTTTGCCTCCCTGATTCCAGCGAGTAATAAGTTTGTTTCTTTGTTTTATATTTTGTTTGTGCTTTGAAGCTTCTGTAGCAGTTGGATGAAAGGATAAATTTAGTAGTTGATGTGAATCGCGTGTCACTTTCTACTTCTTTTCGTCTGATACACGTTATAGATATAAAGTGGAGAACAAAATGAAGAAGTTTGAAATTTCATATCCTATCACGACATAACTTATTTCAATTTGGATATGATGAAATGAAAATTTGAATAATCGAACTACAGAACCCAACTAAATGATGTTTACCATTCAGAAAGAGTTGATTATATCAATAAGCTAATCTTTAGATATGTTCGTAGTTAGCTAGTTACCATAAGTTTGTTTGTAGGTATTTGTATAAGTAAGTAAATATTTATGCATGTAGTAATAAATATTTACCGACTAGTGTCACACTAGCGGAAGAGAAACTTAAATTCAAGCAAAAACTTTTAACAGACCACACATTCTTTCATAAACTTTTGAAAGCATCTGGTTAGACATAGAAGGGAAACCATAAGGAATTAGACTCATCCACTTTTTCAAAATATCCAAATGAAACTGAATACAATGATTTATGATGTTCCTATAAAGAATCAAACCCACACATTTACATCTACCTGTTAAATCCAAAATAGAAGGAAATATTTGTTCTCTACTTAATCCCAAGCCGCTTTGTTATGAATTTGTGGGCAGTATTCAGACATCCAAACGGAAGTCAGTATGCCAGTAGAATCAACTCTGTTTGGTACAATTTAATAATAGAGAAAAAAATCGCGAATATCCGTCATATACAGCTGATATGCACAGTTTAAAATGTGGCTTAACTGACTCTTCAACCTGTTTGATAATGCTCTAGTGTTACGTGCCATGAGTATTGGTTTTTAATCGCATGAGGAACGCAATCGGTAACTGGGATATAGATATATTCAACAGCCTGGTCAAAAATAGGATACGGTCCATGTCATTAATTTCACTGCTAGCCACTCTAATCTAACTGCTTATCAACTAAACTCAGTGTTTTCATGAACAAAGACCACATACATAATCAAAACTTCTTGAACGACAACAGCTACGAAATTGCATATTTATCTTACACTGACTGTAATTTCAGACTGCATGCAGCTACTGAATAGTGATTAAGTAAAAGGACATCATTTTATTCTGTCCATTTAATCCACCTTATTTCGTTCAAATATACAGTTAAGCTCACTGATTCGAAAACGATGAGAGATTATGTCTATACGTTACTGAAGTTGAACTGAAAGTTTTATAATTCATAAAACTACTTACTAGTCAAATAAGAAGTTCTGACGACCTACATATAATTTTTTCCTAATCACGAATAACAAGCAAATACTTCGGATACGCTGTTTTCTTGTTACTATTACTTTGCATTTTGATAATATCTACACTCATTTTTTACTTTGTTAAAGGAAAAAGGCAAAGCAATTCGTTTCAGTGTTTGTTATCACTAATTGTGTTATGTGACAAACTCTGAAAATCAGCTGCTTATGCTGTTATTTACGTTGTGTTTACTTACCCATAAGGTTATATAGCTGTGTTAGAAATCATAAAGGTAATTATTTTCTAGACTACTTGTTCCAGCTGTTAATTTGTTCCACACATATATAGTAAGATATCATATTTCTGCATAGCAAATCGTGAAAACTGAATAGTTGAATGTCCAGACAAATGAAAGTTGATTACATAAAGAATATGTATCTTCAGTTGATTAGACTTCAGGCAAATACTGACCGAATCAAATAAACAGTATTATTGGTTTTTGCAATGTACTCATACCTGGAAAAATCTCTAAGAAATAAAAAGGTTGGTAATAACTGATAACTGGAATAAAATGATTTTTGTAGGACAGCTGTGTAATGACCATATATCCCATCACTCATTGCCTCTTTGGTATGCAATACGCCTTTTCACATAAGTAGCAATTAGTAACAAGATTACATCATTAAACGAGCTTGTAGGGTATAGTCTTTAGAATTTTAATTTTTTTCATGTAGTTTTGTAATCACGATTATTATACTAATAAACTACTTTCTTCTGTGTCCTTTAATTAATTTTTTAATCCATACTACAGGTTAATAAATGACTCACTAGATTATCTGAACCTTCAAACTGTTGAATTCATGTTAATAAGTAGTATATAAATATTGTAGAATTTAAAACACCAATATACTTTAAGCAGAGGTTAGTCGGTATGTTTATCTAGAATTTCAAAGAATATATAGTGTTGTAAGACATTCGCATAATAATGGTAATCTTCTTAGATGTTGAAAGCAGCATCAAATTGCCTAATCAACCATCTTGCATAAACCATACTGCACTCTGACGATTTAGATAAGTAATGAATTTCGAATAACACCACATTATTGTTCTTTTTGAAGTATAGTATGTCTGCAGAAATAATATCTATTCGGTTATCATAGCTCAGGATGATAGTGACAGTAAACATTAAGTTGTTACTATTTACAGTAAAACAACAATTACCATTACAGTAAGACAATTTGAAAAATCTTGCAACGTTATACCTCAGTGTCACAACTTAACACTGAATCATCATTTTGAACAAGTTTGTTTTCACATAAACATAATGGAACATAACTGATCAATGCTTACACAAATACTGTACAAATTCAGTCAAACATTTATCAACTTAGTGACAGTGCATGTAAAAATCATTCAACGTTTGCAGGCTATTCACGATCAAATACCAAAACAGTGCCATCGTTTACTTTTTAGATTTTTTCATGATTTTTTCCTTATTATTGACAGTTTCCAAGTCATATTATGACGAATAGTATCGCGAAATGTTAAGTACGATCACCTAACCTATATTTCGCCTTATTAACAATCTTGGTTCAACATTTTTTATCGAACAACAGTTCCATTCTTAGATGCATAATGTAACTTAATTTCACCACTCAAATTAATTTCGAACTAGGCTAAAGACGAAGAGCATGAACTAGAGCATTATGTGTAGAGTGTAAAGTGAGAATGATTTTGAAAAGGGTGTTCAAATCGCGCTTCAAACTATGTACCCCTTTAGAAATGATTATACTGACCTTCAAAATCTTCATACAAAATTAAGGATTACTCCTGTTAGTAAAAATATCTTAATATTCATATTCCAAACTACTTTTTTAAACAATACATTTTATAGCAATTCGGTTAGTTGTGGCTAGCAGAGGAATACAGGACGTGGGTTTTATTCTATTTATGACTCACTTGTCAGCTAAGTGTTCCTGTACCTCAGTGACGAGTGATGTTCCCACTAAATCTCGAAACCGCGTACACACCACTTCAAATGTCATAGTGTTATCCATTATGACACGGAGGAATGACAGCCATTTCTCATACAACAGGTATTGCTTGTTACTACTCATTCATATACTCCTAATTCTGCATTGCTTTATTGGATCGAATTAATCAACCTTCATTGGCATATGGGCTCTCATGTGGATGCCTCGGTATTGCCTAAATGTTATTTATGCTAATTCGCTTGGTTTTGACTATGAGAAGAATCCAACAAAACAATGGAGAATTACAAGTATATGAATGAGTAGTGACAACCAATACCCGTTGTACAAGAGGTGTCTGTCGCTCCTCTGTGGCATAGTGGTTATTGCCTTGACGTTTGAAGTGATGGGTATGAGGTTCGAGTCCCAGTGGAACAACAACACTCTGCAATGGAGTGCGAGTACATCCAGCTGATGAGTGAGTCCTAAATAAGACAAAACGCGCATGCTGGATTCTTCTGTTATCCATAACCAATCAAATTATCATAAATGACATCGAGATAATATCGAGTGAGGTATCCACGCAGGAGCCCATATGCCAATACTGGTCAGACAGTTCTATCCAGTAAAACAATGAAGAATTGCATGTAAATAAGTACTAATACTTTATATGGCCTAAAAATCAAATTCCATTTCTGACGTACAAAGAGTGTCTGTGGTGACTTTGTTACCAATTGAACAATGCTCTGATATTAGAGTAGTTTGGTCTTAAGTATCACTCTTGATGGGAACAAAACCATTCACTGGAAAGCTGGAAAAACCAATTGGCGTAAAGCACTTACGGAATTCTATTGCTGGCCACAATTCATCACAATTAAAATGACATTTTTTAAAAAATTGTACGAAAAAATCACCATTTACTCCTGACATTCGCTTGACAATAAGCAAAACTACGTTCCATGTGCAGTCAAGCATGATTGACAGCCCACTGTTTTTTTAGTCAAAGATGAAATTCCAGGTCTCAATGTTTCGCATTATGCTACATAATTAACAATGGCACGTTTACCATATACTTTGAGATTTTCATAAACAAAGTCCTACATTCAAACATGCATATTAGTCCCCGAGGGTTTATTATTTCACTGACTACATGTTTAATCTGTTTTGTAGCTAATCTTCCAGACGAATGCCTGAAATTTTAAATAATTCACCCTGCTAAGAATAAATCATTTATTTCTTCGTGACAAAAATCAAACTTATAACCATTTGTATTTTTCGAAACAAGGATGCTGTAGAAATTACATTCATGAGTTTTGAGATTATGAGCTTTGAATTTATTCCAGGATTAGATCCTTTTATATATTGTCCCTCCAGGAAAGTTCATTCTATTTATTTTACAAACTTATATCATGATTTGAAGGCTAGAAACTCATTGAAAATAATACAGAAATATTACCTGAAATATGACCAGTCATAAGTAGGATATGATTTATCATATAATTTCCAGTGTTCTAATTGGTTACTTGTATATATTTTCTGCCAATCAAATTTCAGATTTGTCAGCATGAAAATATTTCTTTTTTGAAGTATACATATATGTATTTTTGAGCGAGCCTTTCTTTACTGAATTGAATTTACAATTATATCTCTTGACGGTGTTTATTAAGAATTTATAAACTTCTTGGATTATATAGCTCGATAATTTAATAAAAGAACGTGTACAAGTTGTCAATGCAGATGATTGTAAGAAATTATTTTCGATGCACGCAAGTCATCAGAAAGAGTACTTATTGAAAGAAGCTCGTAGTAATAATAAAAATCCTAATTTATATATGTATATATTTCAAAAAAATATTTGATTTATAAAATCAGCCGAATGTCACTGATTATCTAAATGAAAATAGATTTATTGTGGAAATTCATTCTACTTTTCTGTTTGAAAATGAACAGTTCCATGTTTCAAGATCATATCATTATGTGGGATATAAAAAATGAAATGTAAGTTATTTTTTTGCTCAGTATTTTCTATATTTTCACAAAAATTTCTTATCTCTGCCTTGGACAAGTTTTAAAAAGAGGATGGAAGTTGACCAGTGAAACAATTCGAAAAGTTCTCTAAATATAATTCTTGATGTAAATGGTTGATTAAAAAATTGAGTAAAATGCAAAATGTCAGTCATAAGTTTATCAGAAATCCCTTAAGCACTTCATCATATAATTCTGCCTTCGGAACTACAAACTGTTCCAACTCTTCTAACGTTGTATGTGTGAAGTAATTTAACTTCTTGGTTGCTTTTGGTTCCTTGAGCTTGGCGCTTTAATAGTAAGGTTTTCATTGTCTTTACGAACAAAAACTTCTGTACTAAAGTTAGTGATGATAATCTTGTCTAAAAATAAAATGAATAGTTTACAACACAACAAAACCAAGATCATCCATCAGAGCTAAAAATATTCTCTACCATTACAAACTCATATGCATGTAATTTAACTTTACTTCAAGATAACTAGTTTCCAGAGAAATAAACATCTTACGACAAGTAGAAGTAATTTATTTCCCTTTATTCTTCTTGTTAATTATTCTACTGATAAGAAGTATGCATTCGCGGCGTTACTCACATAGTAAAACCCCTCCTTAATGTCTTTTACTCACTCCAGACTCAAAACTTACATTTTTCTTAAATAAATATAAAGTTTGCAGATAGGTTTGATGCTAGCATAAACTCAGAATCACCGATGCAAGATATCCAACACAACATTGAAAAGAAAGAAGGACAAGTATTTCAAAGGAGTGAGACTTTTCGTCGATTTTATTCTGCTGTACAACTACAAGTTCAAACTTACTTTTCGGTTAGTATTCAATAGTTGGCAGTGCTATATCGCACACGGCAATAAGGTGAACTGCTTAAATCTTGGACTACCAAAGATCTTTCCACTGATTACATCCTATCAAGTTATTCCCTTTTAGTTTGTTTTAATCTTTTCAATGTCTTCTGAAAACGCCATATATTCTAGCATGCTTTTAAAATGTTTTCAAATTTTATTTTCTCAAGCTAAAAATAAAACGAAGGTAAAACATTCTGTCAGTTGTAAATGGATTTATAAATGCTAAAAAATACACCACATTACTGTTTCTAGGACACGTGTATTGAATTGTGAATTTCTGGGCTGGGAATGAATTAACCTTAGCATATTACACACGAACTTACAGCTAGTTTTTTAGTTACCTGCTTTGGGGTCATTTTATAAACAACAAAGTTTATCACTGAATTTAATGACTTACTGTTGTAAACCATAGACACATTGTTGACTATAAGAAGTAAAACTATAGCTTTTGTTGTAAATTCCTTTGAATATATTCTTAATGTAGTTACTGTTATTCGGATCTGTTTATATCAACGAATATATTTTAAACCGGTACATGATGCCCAAGTGATAAAACAAGACAATTTTGAGAACATGTTACTCTCAGGTAGCTTGTGAACTACAGTTGGAGCCTTCAAGTGCCTTTTTTGATAAGACATAATAATTGCAAAATGTAAACGTCCTATAAACAACATGTTTTCATGTCTTTTACTAAAGACAGTACATTCGACTATTTTCGACTTTAAACATTGATTGCACTGAAATTTGTGTTAAGAAATTTTTCTTCTGCAAATGTTTTTTTAGGTTAACATTTTATATTTTAATGAAGTATCGTATTCACAAATTTGACTGCAATCATTATAGGAGAAATGATTTCTGAAGTTTTGTCTGATTTGTTTGTCCTAATATGGATAATTAGGCTTGAACGAAATAGGATTAGTTCTTATTTTGTTAAAATTTCGAGCAAACTTACTGCCCATGATCACATCAATAAGTGGAATACTTGTTCATAAATACTTATAAGTAAAGGTGTACACTCTTCATCAACAATTCGCTTATAATAAATTAATTCATTCCATAATCCACAAACTTTTCATTGATATATGTAAGCGTAAACACGTTAAAAAACTTTTTAATCAGATTTTGCAAGTAAGAGACTATAGTCAAGCGGTAGTATTGATGTAGTGACTATATGCACAGGACTTTACTCTGTTGAAAGCAAGGTTACATAAACAGATGTCTTTCATAAATTTTGTCGGGGCATTATGGCAGTTTAGTTATTTGTGTGACTTAGTGATTATTTTATTTTCATTCTTCGAAATGAACTTAGCCGTTGGTAATAGTTTTTCGGCAATATCTGACTACTCGATGTTCGCCAATGTAACTGAAGTATTTAATACCTCGAAAATTAGTATGCAGATTTATCAAATCTACCTCAAAGGCTTTTGAAAGTGAATCATTTCCTCCATGTGCTAACTATTCACAAAGTATTGCCGTAAATTATACCATGATCCTTTAACAATAATCATGAAAGCTTCACAGTTATTCAGAGTTTTAAACAAAAGTTGTTGATACCAATCGGACCAAAAAGCGTCTTATTCAACACTAAATTTCTACCTACCTTTAAGATTTGCAAATTTTTTAGTAGACTATATTAACCATTTTCGGTGCAAGCTTTGTGATTATAAGACATCTATAAATTGGTTTAAACTTATAACCACTTTTACTGAAATGTAGAGATTGTTGCCGAGAGATTTTTACGTAGACAGTAAAATAACAGTAAACAGGATGCTTCGAATATGCAAGAAACTGTTACAGATGAGCACCACTTTGAAATTTACTAAAGGGTGTATAAAATTAGTTACTATCTAAGAATCTAAAAGGAAACAAAAGTGTTTATTTCTTCCTATAATCTTGATATGTTCTAAAATTTATGACCGACAAGTGCATGTCTTAACAGATACTTAACTTTAAACAGTCGAAAACTGCCTTCTGGTGTTCACTGTTACCCGAATCATTTATAACAGGTTAAATATCATATCATCAATACACAATCAGATGTATAGTTGCGGTTATCTTGTGAATGCTGCAGAGAATGTCACAGAATAGTCAGGCGATTGCGTTCTTCTTGTTAAGAATATGTATTTTTTCCATCCATAGACTAGTTTTTTTGTTTTATTTATTGTTCAGGAAATAAAAACATGTCAAAAGAACTGGATGATGAACAGATTGACAACTAATTGTTATCCACTCCTATGTTTTGAAGTTTTATAAAATGTTTTCTCTTTTCACGTAGTAATGGATTTCATCCAGATACTTTTCGCCCCAGCTCCAACAGTCTAGGCTACCTCAAAAAAATGTTCATAGAAAAAAACAGAAGTATTCATATACTTTTTTATGGTGTCCCCTGTATACACTTATAAATAGTTGGTGTGACAGTCACTGCTGTTTATGGATAAATAAGCGTTTTACAGAATTCCAAGTAATATAACATTTTTGAATGCACAAGTAATCTAATTTCAGTAGGTTGAACAACACGTACGTTAATTGACAGCACTTACGTTGATTTTCTTGTGATGATTTATTCACATATTTGTCAACTTTTTATTTATTTGTCGTAATGCTGTTGATACCTTTTGTGGTTACTAGACAGCTGTTATTTTACAAAATTTTTAATTGGTCTCAATCAAGCATCAATTTTTGGAGCTTTAATAATATAAGTTGGATTAAAAACCAAACGAAACTAATTAGAATTTACAAGGAATAAGTGAATATATATAGATATCAAAAAAACATAACTTATTAATAACTGAAAATTACTATACAACCAATGTCATAAGAAACTGATTGTTTGAGGTGACGTTATAAAAACATTCAGTCAATTTCATTTAACCTAATTTAATATATAAACCTTTCTAGACATCAACGACACTACTTTGACCATATTTAGACATTTTATCTGTCGGAATTTAGCCAAAAAAGTTGAACAATATTTTCACTTTCGATAAATTATAACCACAAGTTACTCTAAGTGTATTATGCCGGTTACTTACTACTAGTTCTTATATTGAAGCCACTTATTAGTAAGTAATGAATTCAGGGTTTGTGGTTCAAATCCTACCGCGACTCAAATTTTTGTTTCACCTACAATCATCACCTAGTATCAAGAACACTTGTTTCTTATTTATTTTAGACTTGCTAATGTAAACTCTATGCGCCGTGTTGATCCTATTATGAAAAGCTGTAGGAATAGAGTTGTTACTCGTCAGTTGGTTAGAGGCAATCGGCAGGAAGCCTTGGACCTAGGTTTTCTGCTTTTGGCACTCGTCAGCAAGGCGTATCTACAACCTCGGTGGAACTGACGTCCCACCTGAGACTCGAACCCTCGTCACCCAGTGTTGTAGTCAGCGACTTTACCACTGAGCCATTTCTGTCCACGATCCATCTACTGTAAAACAGTACACACCTACTAATGTGCATCGCGATGCTGAGCTTTCTAGCTTGGTTGCCACATTGCAAATATGATCGATAGGATTCAGTAGGCACTCAGGACTAGACAACATAGAATTAGTTGCACTCCCGTGACAAATCAATACATGTAAATGAAGTAATCAGCGTTCAGTGTCTTAAACCGCGATCGAAGTAAGTAACACCGCATGGATCAAAAAAGGTGTGAAAATAATATTTAAATTTTACTTTGAAAATAGATACATATTATCAGTTAGCTTTTAAACGATCGTCCATCCCTAAAAGGGTTCACAAATAAATTAGTATTTCCATAAAAGTACTGCAATCAACATTTAGTATACCACATATATAGACACACTCTGTTCACCAGCTACTGATATACTTGTAATTCCTCATTGTTTTATTGGAACGAATTGTTCGACCTCCATTGGCATATGGGCTCCTGCGCGGATACCTCGCTCGATATTGTCTGGATGTTATTAACGATAATTTGCTTGGCTATGAATAGCAGAATAATCCAGGATGCGCGTTTTATCTTATTTGGGACTCACTCATCAGCTGGATTTACCAGCACTCCAGCAAGGAGTGTTGTTGTTCCTACTGAGACTCGAACCTCATACCCACCACTTCAAACGTCAAGGCATTATCCACTATGCCACGTAGGGTTA